AGCTCTCTGCTGTGGCCCGGGAAGGCAGTGGAGGATGGCCCAAGTGCTTGGGCCCTGCACCCGCATGTGAGACCAGGAGGAGGCATCTGGCTCCTGGCTTTGGATCAGCACAGCGCTTCGGCCATAGGGACCATTGGGGGGGGGGTGAACCAATGGAAGGGAGACCTTTCTCTTTCTCTCTCTCTCTCTCTCTCTCACTAACTCTATCTGTCAAATAAATTGATTTAAAAAAAAAGTTATTTATTTGTTTGAAAGGCAGAGTTACAGAGAGAGAGGGAGAGACCTTCCATCTATTGGTTCACCCCCCAGATGGACACAACAGCCAGGGCTGGGCCAGGCTGAAGCCAGGAGCTTCATCCAGGTCTCCCACATGGGTGCAGGGGCCCAAACCATTGGGCCATCTTACACTGCTTTCCCAGGCACGTTAGCAGGGAGCTGGATGGCAAGTGGAGCAGCCGGATCTCAGGGCTCACATAGGCGCCCGTGTGGGATGCCTGCGTCTCTGGTGGCACCTTAACTTGCTACACGACAACACCCAGCTCCAGCTTTTGTTTGAAAGCAAGACAGAGAGGGTATTTCATCTGCTAGTTCACTCCCCAAAGGCCTGCGGCAACCAGGAGCCAGGAACTCCAGCCCAGGCGCCCACGGGGTGACAGGGACCCAAGTCCTTGAACCATCATTTGCTGCCTCCCGGAGTACATTATCAGGAAGCTGGATGGGAAGTGGAGTAGTCAGGCCTGGCATTGGTGGAACAAGGACAGAAGCCTCTGCCATTCCCGCTCATCGCCCAGAGGAGATGAACACTGGAATGCACTCCTTGCCCTGGAATCTCAGTTGGGTCTCCCACCCTACGGCTTTCATCCCCACCTGCATTCTCCTCCAGGTTCCCAAGGCCCCGCCCAGTTCCAGGAATTCCCCTCTGCCTGCTGCCCCCACCCCCACCCCCACCCCTCCTAAAATGTAAAAAGGCCTGACCCCTGGGGGTCGGGCCTTCTGTCACAAGTCCCATCAGTGTGCTCGAGGGCAGCTGGTCACCCACCTTTGAGAATTTATCTCCTCTGATTAACCTTAGCCTGGCTGTGATTTCATGCCTCCTCTCTGTTCTGGCCCCCCCCCTTTTAAGATTTATTTATTTATTTGAAAGTCAGAGTTACACAGAGAGGAGAGGCAGAGAGAGAGAGAGAGAGATAGAGAGAGAGAGAGAGGTCTTCATCCACTGGTTCACTCCCCCAGATGGCCACAACAGCCAGAGCTGTGCCGATCCAAAGGCAGGAGCCATGAGCTTCTTCCAGGTCTCCCATGTGGATGCAGGGACCCAAGCATTTGGGCCATCTTCCACTGCTTTCCCAGGCCACAGCAGAGAGCTGGATTGGAAGCAGAGCAGCCGGGACTCAAACCAGCGCCCATATGGGATGCAGGCACTAAGGTGGCGGCTTTACCCACTATGCCACAGTGCCGGCTCCTGCGCCTCTTTTCCTACCAGGAATCACCACTCCAGCGTGGGAGGTGGGCATCGCGAGCAGCAACTTGCCTGCTGCACCTCGTGCCTGCCCAGCTGTTTTCTTACCAGGTAGGAATGATGGGAAAAAGCATCGTGAATACACAAACCAGTGGCACAGCCAGCCACTCTCAAGGGTGATGGCAGTACCTAATTGTACGTGCGACTTTCACACAACTGGCAATGCTTCCCAGCATCACCCTCCACGCGTGCCGTGGTGTGGCCTCACTGCGCCGTCACTAGGCAACAGGATTCTTCAAGCTCTGTGGGACATCTCAAGGGACGGCTGTCGTACATGTGGTCTGGTGTTGGCTGGCACATAGTTCCATGGTGCGTGACTGTTCTGTTTATTTTTTTTAAAAAGTGGGATCTAATTCACAAACAGAAAACGCACTCACTGAAGTGGACAAGTTAATTTTTTAAAAAGATTTATTTGAAAGGCAGAGTTACAGAGAGGAGGGAGAGAGAAGGAGATCAATCGTCCATCTGCTGGTTCACTCCCCAAATGGCCTCAACAGCCAGGCCTGGGTCAGGCTGAAGCCAGGAGCCCAGAATTCCATCTGGGTCTCCCACGTGGGTGTCAGGAGCCCAAATATTTCATCCATCTTCCTCTGCTTTCCCAAGTGTATTAGCAAGGAGCTGGACAGGAAGTGGAACAGCCGGAACCCAAACCGGCACTCCTACGGGATGCCAGTGGTGGCTTAACACGCTGTGCCACAGCACAGGCCCCAGGTCAATGCTTTTTATCACGGGCACGGAGTTGTGCAGCCACCTCCCTCCCCACAGTCTAGTTGTAGAGCCCCGCCCCCACCCTTCTATTCCCAGCCCTAGGCTGCCACTCATCTACATGCGGTCTCTGATTTGCCGGTTTCAGCTGTCCCCTGTGAATGGACGCATCATCCCTGCCTTCCTTATTTAGCATGAAGCTTGCAAGCCTCACCCATCGCCATGTGTTCGGAAGGAAAATTTGATGAGAACACAGCCCCACTTGGGACTTTGCCTTGGGCTCCGGCTGTTTGGATCCACAGAGTAAAAGCCCCAGTTATTATCCACCTCTTTTCTTGTCAAATGCTGAGTTAGGCCCTTTCTGTTGGGTTTTCTGGCATCTACCCTGATAAAGGCACCAAAAGATAAAGGACATACCAGAGGAGAAGTTGATGCCAAAGAGAACACCCGGTCAAGATAACTGACCATTCCTGGACTCAAACCATGGCAGAGGCCTCTCAGCCAGCCAGCGAAAGAAGCAGCCAGGGCAGAGGCTTCTTCACCCACCGGGAGCGGCAGGTGGACCTGCTCAGCAGGTGCACTTGACCTTTGCACATTCTTAGCCATGTGTTTATTTGCCAGAAAGACCCATGGGGAGACAGAGAGGCAGAATCTCTCACCCACTGGTTCACGCCCCGGATGTCCTGGGCAGCCAGAGCTGGGCCAGGCTCTGAAGTCAAGATCGGAGAACTCAATCCAGCTCTCCGACGGGCGCGGCAGGGGCTCAGCTACTTAAGCCATCACCTGCTGCCTTGCAGGGTGCACATTAGCCGGGAAGCTGGAATTGCAGGAGCCGGGACTGGGACTGGAAACAGAGGCACTCTGAAAAGCGGGGCAGGCGTCCCAGGCGACAGCCCAACTCCTGTGCCAAATGCCCACCCCAGGGGAAGCTGTTTCCACGAGGCCCTGATCGCTGGGGGATCCTGATGGGATCTGCTGTTGGCAGAATTGAAGCCCTCTAGGGACTGGGGGAGGAAGATGATGGGACAGAATTCTTTTTCACTCACTCAAACCGTGGAGGCCTAAGCAAATGTTGTCTACAAGAACACAAGACTTCCTTGTTATTATTACTGTCCTGCAACTGTTATTATGAGCAGTAACAAAACAGCAACCCAACCCCTCCGGGTTCCCTCCCCCTTCCCTGTCCATTAGCGAGAACTCAGAGGAGTAAGGGCAGTAGGTGCTGGTGCTGTGGCTCCGTGGGTTAGGCCTGCCTGCAACACTGGCATCCCGCATTAGAGCCCCGGCTCGAGACCCTAGTACTCTGCTTCCGATCCAGTTCCTTGTTCACGCGCCTGGGAAAGCAGCAGAAGACGGCCCAAGTGCTGGGGCCCCTGAACCCACATGAGAGACCCGGATGGAGTTCCAGGCTCCTGGATTCATTCTTGATCAGACCAGACTATTGTAGCTATTTGGGAGAATGAACCAGTGGATAGAAGTTTCTTTCTCTCTCTCTCTGTCACTCTGCCTTTCAAATTAAAAAAAAAAAAAGTAAATACTTTAAAATAAAAATAACAAGGGCAGTAAAACCTCTCACATCCTCGAAGAGCCCACACTCTACTAATTACTGCTGGAAGACGATGGAAGCGGCCCAGGGGAATCCCTTTCTGGAAGGTTCTCTTCCCTGGAGGTGGAGCAGGACGGGCACCCTAACTGGGACGGGCGACAGTGGCAGCCGCGTTGGCTCTGCTTCACGGAGGTGCTGCCACCCTTGCCCCCGGGTGCTCTGTTCCAGCCAACCTCCCACACACGCAATGAGCTTCCCAAGCCCTTGTAATCTAAGAAAGGTTGCGACACGGTGGCCCGAGGCTGCACCGGGCCCATTTGTGTGCCACGCAGCTCACGATGCTCTCTAAGCCTGGCTCTTGTTTAAAAATCAGGAGACGGCGTAATGAGTTCTGCTTCTCGCACACCGTGAGGAGTGTTCTAGCAATCCAGGCCCGCAGAGCAAACACCGCGGCTGCTGCGGTTGGCCCTGTCCAGCTCCCTGCAGGCCCCCGCCATTGGCTATGTCAGCAGGACTCGGGGGCAGAAACTGAAGAATGAGAAGGCTTAGGGGATAGTGCTCGGGTACCCTTTCAGTTTGGGGGTCACAGAAGAACCCTCTGAGGAAAGATAAGAGGCAAGCTCTCAAGGTGGCCAAGGAACAATCAGATCTGGGGTCACAATGCACCAGGCAGTGCTATCAACAAGTGCAAAGGCCCTGTGGTGGGAGTGTGGCTGGTATGAGTGAGACCAGGCCAGGCCAGGGCGGCTCAGAGATGATACAGGCCTCCTTGTGCCTATGTGGGGGGTGTGGTGCAGTGGGGGGGGCTGCACCCCCCAGGGCACAGTGTTTCCACTATGCTTCCTGTTAGGGGCCCTTGAGGGGGGTTTGCGAGGGAGGGCCTTCGTGTTCACACCACACAGTCCTGTGCCTGGCACACAGTAGGCGCTCAAAAGGAGGTGCTAGATGTAGAAGGGACTCAGTGGGCGGGGTATGGTGTAGTCCAGGGCCCTGTGCTTAAGTGCGTGTTGTGTGCTCCAGAGTCAGAGAACGCTGGATCCCACCCCCTGAGCCTCAGTGGCCTCACCTGTGAAATGGGAGACCAGTTCCCCACCCCATCATGTGCTGGGGTGGAGGTTGGAAAAACAAGGGTGGGTGGCACAGGGCCTGGCTGCCACCACCACCACCCCTGCCCCCTCCAGGCCCTGCAGCCCCTCACTTAGCCCACACACACACACACACACACACACACACAGGACAAGTCACTCCATTTATTGTTAAATCACTCGCAGCCCAGGGCATCAGGCCCCCTAGCTTCATTGAAACCACCTGGGATTGTGGGGGGACTACCTGGGAGGTGAGAGGACCCCCACCCTCCCATTTGCGTCCCCCCCAATTTCATCTGCTGGGACCCTCACCTTCAAGGTCCTGGGATGCAGCGTGGAGCTCTTGTGGGCTCAGACAGGTCGGGGGAGCTTGCTCCTGCTTCTGCCTCCCGAGGCCTCCCCAGGGAAGGAGCCAGGTGACAGGCGGGTGCTTCCAGTCCCACTCAGGGAGGAAAGCGAATGTTCACCTTCAGGCTGAGTTAGGGGAGAGCACCTCCCCTGGGGGGAAGGCTCTGAGCCCCACCACAAGACCTGGGGGCAGGCAGAGTTGGGAAAAGAGGGAAGCAGCCTCCCGGGCCAGGTGCTGGGAGCTCAGAGGTCACTGTGGCCTCTTAGGGGCAGGTAGGTCTGGTGTCTGGTTAGGGATTAGGGGAGCACGGCCCCCTTGTGTTCTAAAGCTGGAAAGGTAGGGTGCAGATGGGGCGGGGGACCCCCTTCTTCCTGAGCCGCCCCATTTCCAGCTGTCCCTGGTCGGGGGTGGTGCCAGGGTCGGTCACCAGGACACTTCAACCTCCCACCCGCTTCCTCCGGCCTTGGTCTCGGTGCAGAGGAGTGGTAGCACCAGCCCACTGTCTCGGAAGCTGGGTGGGTCTGCGGGGCCAGGACCCCGGAGGTGTGCCCCCCAAGCTGGCTGTGGTGGGGTCACACCCTGACCTGCCCTGAGTAGAAGTGAAGATTTGCCAATACTGTCCCTTAGGGGCCGCAGGCCGCACCAACCCCACTCAGGGGTGTGGAGGTAGACAGGCCCCGGGAGGGGATGGAGTGGGCGCTCATCCCGCGGGGGGGCAGGGCGGAAACCCAGAAATGGCACCCGGGGGAGAGACGGGTTTGGCAACTGTCTGATACTCCCGGCAAGCACAGGTTCCCCCCAGCCTCGCTGCTGGGGACGCCCGGACAGCCTTCCAGGGGTCCCTGCAGGAGCTCACACACCCACAGCGCTCTTGTCGCCCTCCTTGGGGCTGGGGTCCTCCTGCTCCTTCTTCATCTCCCAGCCCCTGACCCAGGTGTAGGCGGAGGAGCCGCCCAGCACCATTAGGTTGCTCGTCCACCACAGGAAGCTCTTGGCCTCTTCGTAGTAGAGTACGGCCAGTACCGTCTGGGCGCAGGCCTTGGCCGTGCCCGACACGTTGTGGGTCAGGGGACTGGTGAACTTGATCTGCAGCCCCGTCACGTAGCCGATGGCGAAGCCGAACAGGCCGCCCAGCGTCATCATCCCCCAGAAGTGGGCGCTGCCCAGCTGGGCGAAGTCCCCGAGGGTGCGCAGCTCCCCAAGCAGCAGTAGCAGGGGCAGGAAGAGGAAGCAGGCGTTGAGGTTGTTGTAGAAAGTCAGGCGCCAGATGCTACCGTCCACCGCCGGCAGCACTTTCTTGGTGTAGATGGCATTGAGCGAGACGCAGAGGCTGGCCAGCACCCCGAAGAGGGTGCCCACGGGGGACAGCGTGCCCTCGGCGCCCTCTTGGTCCACACCCAGCCAGAAGCCACCTGCAGCGGGGAGAGGACCAGGGTGAGGGGGAGGAGCGAGATGAGGATGGGAGGGGGAGGGGCAGAGCATCTTGCTGCTGAAGTTCACGGACGACTATGCCGTCCCTTCCTGCCCAGGCCTCCCCTGTAAAGACATGTCCAAGCACAGTGCACGGGGCCAGGGGGCAGTGGCCTGGAGCTCCTGTTCCCGCCCAGGAGGAGCCCACAAACCCCATTATTTCATTAATTGCAGCGGTGCTGGCCGGCAGGAAGCCATAGACCCGCACCGGAAGCCCTGAGCACCACAGCTCTGGATGGGAGTTCTCAGGCATGAGGGCCACTTTGTGCGGACTTGGGGCAGGTGACTTCCTGGGCTCTTCATCCCTGGGTGCAGTGGGACAGAATCACCTGTAGCCTGAAGTCTAGGACCCTCGGTCGTTCTGGGACTCTGATCCTGGGTCACCTCTGGCTCCACCAGCCTCCATGGCTCCCCCTTGCCCGGAGCACCGGGGCAGGCCACACCTCAGCCACGCCTTTCCCTGTCCTCTGATCACCCTCCCATCTCCATCCTTGCCCTAGGGTTCCCTTCCTGGATCAGGAACTCACTCCTCCTTCCCAGGCGGCGGCCATTTTTTCTTCAAGGTCAAAGCCAGCCTCTCCAGGGGGAATCCTTTCCTGATACTCCCAGCAGCCACGCCTCTTCCTGTCTGCACTTCCCAGCAAAGCCACTCAGCTGCCCAGGGCTGCTAGGCACCTGCCCTTGGAGGCTGTCGGGTCTCTTTAGCCAGGCCCTGTGCTTCCGGAAAGCAGGGGCTGGGTTTTACCCACCTCCTGCCTCCTGCCACGATGCCCAGCAACATGGGACAATGGGAAAGCTTTGGTGTCAGAGAGATCTGGCCCCAAATCGGCTGTAGAGTTTGGAAGCTGAATGGCCCTGCAGAAGTTACTGCACCTCTCTGGTTCCGTTTCCCCTTCATGAATGACCCCTACTCCGACCTTAGGAATGACCTCCCCAGAGCGCCGATTCCTTGCTGCTCCTATTGCCCTCAGGAAAAATTCCACACTCACCCCACTCAGCCCCCACGGCCGCACCCCTGGCAGCCTGGGGTCTGTGTGTGTCGCTGCAGCCCCGTCGTGGAGACGACCACGAGGACATTCTCTTCTCCACTCATCCTCTACACCACAGTGCACTTCCTCCAGGGAGCCTGCCTAGAATGCCCCTCCCTGCCTCCCCTCCCTCCACAGGGTCCATACAGCACCCCTGGGTGCCCAGCACAGCCCTCAGCACCCTGGCATAACCATCACCGCGCCCTCTAGCGGTGCAGGAGCTGTCTACCTGTTCTGAGCGTGGTTCCCCAGAGCTGGCACTAGCCACCACGTAACAGCATGAACGCATGGAGGCACTCAGCTCTCAGCACTCTGCACCCACCCTTCCCCAGCCATGCGGTCTGGGAAGCAGGGAGGGGCAGCCTGGGCTAGTTGCCCAAGTCCCATCTTCCCCATGAGGAGGAAGGAAGGAGAAACAGGGCAGGTGGGGGCCAGGCCCCAGGGAGGCAGAGAGCATTTGCCTCCCTGGCACCTGACCCCTGACCTCTGGCTCCCTTGGCCTCCGAAGCCATTACTTTCGGGACTCAGCTGCCTGTAACTTCACCTTTCTGCAAGCCAACCATGGAGGTGCTGGGGGTGGGAGTGGGGCGCTGGGGGAGGACTGGAGGCTGTGAGGGGGACCAGCCTGGGGGCAGAGCAGGAGCAGCTTGGTGAGCTCTGCTGGGGCGGGGTCTCGGTAGCTCCTCCCACTCACCGCCCTTCCCAGGACCCAACCGCCTCCATCTCTGGGACCTAGACTGAGAAGCCGTAGATTCAGCAGGGGCTCAGCAAGGGGACGCATTTTCTAGGACAGATGGCAGGGGACGGGTCCATCCTCCCCGACCCAGGCAGCAGGAAGGATATATAGGCCAAGTCAGAGGAATGGTACAGCACCAGCGAAAATGGGAACAGGTGCACATCAGGAGCGCATTCCTGCAGGACCGAGCCCTGGAGGCCCCAGGCAGGGACAGGAGGCTGGAGACTCCGGGATCCTGTCTGCTGCCCAGTAAAACATTCTGCGGTGATGGAAATGTCCTATCAACTGTGCTATACAACAGAACAGCCCCCAGCTGGAAAAGCCGGTGCTGGATCAGGTTACAACTCCGCAACTGTTGCACTGGGAGGAATTTAGATGCGCATGGGGCCAGTGTAGTGGATGGCGCAGCTCTAACCTCCAGCAGCCAACAGAGCAGGGTGGTTAGAAGCACAGGCCTGGGAGGTCCCCGCGCGGCTCCTTTCTTAGCTGTGTGGCCCTGGCCAAGTCCTTTAGCTTCTCTGTGCTCCACTTTCCTTGTTTGAAGGGAGATGGGGCCATTCATCCCCCTGCCCAGGGGACTTCTGGGGGGGGGGGGACAAAGGAAATGCTACAGGGGAAATGATAAGCAACAGCGTCTCCATCAATCATCTGAAGGCCAAGTCTGGGAGGGCAGCTAGGGCATGTCCAAGCGAATCTCTGGACCCCCCCCCCTCAGGGGCTGCCCTGAGCTGGCAAGGTCAGAGGGCGACCAGGTCAGAGGGCGAAGGGGTGTTTGTCAAAGGAGCATTGGGGGCTCAGGCTTCCCGGGAAGCCATGCAGCACAGCGGCCAAGTGCGTGGACGACGGAGCCAGGTCGCTCGTGTGCTCCGATCCCAGCTCTTCCACACGTCCGCCGTGTGATCTTGGACAAGTTCCCTATGGTTCTGGGCCTTGCTTTTCCCTGCATAAAACCTGGACTATAAAATCCCACCTTATTTAGGAGCATGCCTGGCACATGCAAAAAAAATATTTAAATTTATTTTTATTGAGTTAAAAGTCAGAGCCGGGGGGTGGAGGGAAGGAGAGGGAGAAAGAGAGAGAGACAGAGAGATCGATCAATCCTCATCTGCTCCTTTGCTCTCCAAAGGCCTGCAGCAGTCAGGGCTGGGCCAGGCTGAAGCCAGGAATCCCCCACGTGGGTGGCGGGGACCCTCTGAGGGACGTGAGCTATACACCAGCAGGAAGCTGGATGGGGGACCCATCCCATCCGATGCAGGTGTCCTGAGTGAGCGGTGGCGGCTTAACCTGTCCAGCATAGGCTGTGGACTTGTCAGCTCGTTCTCACCCTGGCTGGGCCCCTGCCTCGCTCCATGACCGTGACCATGACCGTGACTGTGACCTCGATGGTAAGCAAGTCAGGAGCTCTCTCTGGGCCCCAGGGTCTTCCTCACACGACTGGTGCACCAGGGCAGCAGAGGAGGCCCAGAGACCCCCCCAATCCCCCGGCAGGGCTGCTCTGCAGGATGTCTGCCCGCACGCCCACCTGCTTCCCCCCACTCACCAATGATTCCCCCCCCCCCCCAACTCACCGATGATGACGCCGCAGGTGAGCAGGGCATACAAGGAGGTGGTCTGTTTGAGCAGCACGTAGGACAGCAGCACGTTGAAGACGGTGGTGAGGGAGCGGCCCACATTGTAGAAGGCCACGCCCACGTACTTGAGGCAGAGGTTATTGAAGGTGATCATGCCGATGAAGACCACCGACAGGGGCAGCACGCTGCGGGCCACCCTGAGGTCCAGGTGCAGGGTCGGGAAGTCCACGGCCCCGGGGCAGCAGGTGGCCAGGGCGCTGAGGCCCTTGCACAGCACCGCGGTCACCAGGCACTGGTAGAAGGTGACGAAGATGGGGGTGTCGAGCCGCAGGGAGGGGCTGTCCAGCAGGTACTTGTTGAGGAACACCATGGAGATGGAGGTGACCCAGTAGAGGGAGACCACCAGCGCGATCTGCACGGCCCGCAGCAGGAACGGCTTCTCGCCGCTGCCCGCCTCGGCCTCGCTGCTGGGGTCGGAGGCCCCGGTGAGCGCCATGTGCAGGATCCTGGACCGCTTCAGAGGGGCCCTGTTCATGGTAACAGATGAGCCGGGTCACTGCAGGCCTGGGGCACAGGGGGTGAGCTCGCTGCCTCCTCCACTGGGTCTCCCCCGGGGCGGCGGGCTAGACGCTCCTCCAAGGCCCTTTTGGGTGGAGAGGCGGCTTTGGGGTGAGCCCCCCTGAGCGACTCATGAGACCAGGTACGCGGAGGCGGCGAGGGCCAGGCTGGGGGCTGGGGCCAGGGGCCGAGGCCTAGCAGGGAGGAATCCTGGCGAGCCAGAAGCGGAGAAGGTGGGAGGGCGGGCCGAGGGGAAGAAGGTGCAAGCAGAGCGGGGTGCAGGGAGCCAGGGGCTGGGGCCGAAAAGAGGGGTTCCCGAGGAGCTGAACGGAGCACGGGCGTGCGGCGCGGAGGGGTGCGGGGAGGTCAGAGGTGCTCAGGGCGCGGGCACGGAGGACGCGGTCGGGGCCGGGCCACCGGGAGCCCAAGCCGCGCTGCTTCCCCGGGCGCCGGCTCCGGCTCTGCCTGCAGCCTCCGGACATCCGAGGCCGCCTCCCGGGCGGGGCGGGCCCAGGGCTCATTTCCTGACACGCCCCCAGCCCCCTCCTTAAAGAGCCCGCTCGCCTGGCGCCGCTCTTAAAGCCACAGCCCCCGGGAGGACCGGCGTTCGCGGGTCTGGCTGGCGTCTCCGCCCGGTTGTGGCGCTCGGCTCGGCTGCCCGCTGCCGGTGGGGCCCTCGGCGGCCAGGGAGCCCTCTCTGAATGCTTGGGTTTGCGCCGCCTTCCCGGGAGGGCTCCATCACCAGCCCGCGTCCACCGTGAGCTCCGCAGCTCCCGAGGCGCTGGGCTGCGGGTCCACTAGCTCCTCTCCCCGAGTCTGGGGCGCGCCCCCAGAACCCTGACACCACCCCTCGCCCCTCGGCTTCCAGACGCCCCGGAACCAGCCCCCTTGGCCCCATACCAAGCCCCAGCTCACTGCTCCAGAACCTTACTCTGATCCCTCCTGTCGCCCATTTTCACCACCCCTAGTTCCCGAGACCCCCGGCCCCCTTGCCAGAGGCTGGGGCCCACCGCGCCCCCTCCGGACCTCAACCTGTTCGCTCTATCACCGCGTCCGAGGCATCCTGGAATCCCACGGAGTCGAGCTCCGGGAGTCTCAAGGCAGCACTCCTTCCCTGGGGCTGGGGTCCCCTTCCCTTTCCAGAAAATACCGCCGCCCAGCAGGCTCGGGGGGGGGGGCGAGGTCGGGGCGCCCCGGGCTGCGCTCCCGAGCAGCGAAGGCGACCCGGCGCTCACCTCGTCCAGTGCGCTGGGCGCCAGCTCGCACCGCCCTTAAGCTGCACCTGCAGCGCCGCACCTGTAGCGCCGCGCCCAGGGGCCGCGCCCGCCGGGGACGACTTCCTGCTCTGGGCCCCCGGCGCGGGCGCCGTGCCGGTCTCGCCGGCCCTTTCGCCACGTGGCGGCCCGGGAAGGAAGCGGCGGGGCGGTTACCCTGCTGGCCCTGGGAGCAGGCCCCCTCCTCTTTCCGAGGCCACCCCAGTCTTCGGAAACCGCCCCACCCCCCAATTCTTTACCGCCGCTGCCACGTCCGGTGACCCAGCTGCATCCTTGGCCCGGTCTGCGCTGCCCGATTCGTGCGTGTGGGCAACGGACCGGTTCTGCCTTCCGGCCGGTAACGAGTAACAAATCCCCTCCCCCCTCCCGGGGACCGGGCCGGGGGACTCGGTCACCCGCCCGGGGTCATCCCTCTAGGCCGCCACCAGGACCCTGGCACCCGCCGTGGCGCGGGGTGGTGGGCGACCTGGATTTTCTTCGTGGTCCTTAACCCCTTGCTCAGGATTCGGTTGTGAACGCGAGACGGTCTTGTCTGTAGTATCCCAAGCCCAGTTAATTAGCAGCTTTGGTCAAACGACAAGGTGACCCCAGATTTAGTTATAGAGAGAACTGGTTTAAGCGGCGATTCCTGAACCGCGGTACTGCAAACCAGCCGGTGCAGAGCCGCTGGGTCCACAGCAGATGAAGCTGGGAGGACTTCCTGGCAGCGCTGACTCCAGAGGACTGGAGCCCCCCACCCCCTGTTTTCAGGAAGAACTTGCGTGATTTGGGACCTGTCGGAGGAGTTTGGATTTGGTGATGCGGCATTTTGCACGAGTGACTCAGTCTCTGGGTTTGGGCTGTGTTGTTGTTGGGCCCTGGAGGACCAGGCCAGTCCCACCAATGGCTTCTCCTTTTTGTTCCACACATTTAATTCACAGGTGATATCATGCCAGTGATTTGCTTTAAAACACTCAGTTCACAAACCAAAAAGATTAAAAAAAAAAAAAAAGATTGGTAGGTGGCAGGTGTGGTGGCGCAGTGGGCTAAGCCACTGCCTGTAGTGCCGGCATCCCATATGGCTGCAGGTTCAAGTCCTGGCTGCTCCACTTCTGATCCAGCTTCTTGCTAATGGGCCTGGGAAAGCAGCGGAAAATGGCCCAAGTGCTTGGGCCTCTGTACCCACGTGGGAGACCCAGATGAAGCTCCTGTCTTTAGAATAGCTCAGCTCCAGGAGTTGCAGCCATTTGGGGAGTGAACCAGTGGATGGAAGATCTCCTCTCTCTCTCTCTCCCTCTGTGTGTGTGTGTGTGTCTCCCCCACACCCCCCATAACTGTGCCTTTCAAATAAATAAATAATGTTTTCTTGCCTTTTTGCACATTTGAACACTACCATAATAAAGAGGTAAAATCTGTGCACTGCGTTGCTGGGCGCGGAGAACTGGGAGGGCTACAGGAAGTGGTTCTCTGTCCCGCTGACCTCCCCCATGGAGCTCCTCCCCTTGCCATCTCCTGCAGCCTGTCCCCTGTGCTCTGGGGTACCCGCCTTCCTGCTCCTCCTCTGGGGGTAGGGCATCCTGCTTCCTCTCCTGGGCTCATGTGTACCCAGAGGACCCCATTAGGCCCCCTGACACCTTTGGGAGAAGGCCAGGCTTAGGGGAACAGAGCTGGCCTCCCGCACTCCACCTGCGGTCTCCTTCCGGGCCGCCCTCTGCAGGTGGCGGGTTCAGCCTGTTAAGGCAGAGCCTGCTCCTCTTCCCTCTCCTCTTTCAGGCTGGGGAGAGTTCGCCCTGACACATCACTGAGTGACAAGCCGGGCAAACACGTCTTGGTGAGGCCCTGGCTCCCGGAAGGGCCTTCTGGACCCATGGACAGGAAGTAATTTAGCGGCTAATGTGGTGCCATCTGGAGCCTTGATACCCCCCTGCACTTGGAGGGCGGGGCAGATGGCACTGGGCACTGGGTGTATGTGTGTGTGTGTGGGGGGGTAGCCTGGGCTCTCTGCAGGCCAGGGGGCTGAAGTGTATCCCCAGGAGTCCAGTGTCCCCCCATTACACTGTCCCTAGAGTCCTGCCCTTCATGCCACTCCCTTGGATTAAGGTTGTCCCAGGCCGGTACAGCAAGTTTCTCTGATTCAAATCCTTTCTATTCCTTAGGATGTTTCTCACGGCCTTGGGGCCCCCGAGCGATACACTTTCCACAAAACACTGTGCTTTTGAGTCTTCCTTAAAGAGCGATACTTGCTGAAACCTGCCAGAGACCAGCTCCGGCCAGTCCAGGGGCCCCAAGGCGTGAGAGGTGTTGGTGATCGAAGAAATGAGAGACACTCACAGCAAGGCTGCTGGCATGGCTCTGGCTCTCGGCACCAGATTTTATTTTTATATCCTAAGTCAAATAATGCTTCTTTTTTCCCACAATAACAAGTCTGTTGTCCATTTTCAAGGACATATTCAGAGCATGGGTTACAATCGCAGACAGGTGCGAGATAACGGGCTGCCCACACAAGCCAAGGCCTGGAGTGTTGTCAAGCTATGCAGAAATTGGCTACGCAAGCTAGACTACCTTCCTAATCTAATCTTTACTAGAAGCCCCAAGTTCGAAGCAGGCCCCCCCCTTTTTTATTTTTATTTTTTGACAGGCAGAGTGGCCAGTGAGAGAGAGACAGAGAGAAAGGTCTTCCTTTGCCGTTGGTTCACCCTCCAATGGCCGCCACGGCTGGCGCGCTGCGGCTGGCGCACTGCACTGATCCGATGGCAGGAGCCAGGTACTTCTCCTGGTCTCCCATGGGGTGCAGGGCCCAAGCACTTGGGCCATCCTCCACTGCCTTCCCTGGTCACGGCAGAGAGCTGGCCTGGAAGAGGGGCAACCGGGACAGGATCCGGCGCCCCGACCGGGACTAGAACCCGGTGTGCCGGCGCCGCAAGGCGGAGGATTAGTCTAGTGAGCCGCGGCGCCGGCCGAAGCAGGCCCTTTTAAAAATGGATCCCCTCTTTGTAGTTCTTTCTGTAACTCTAATTGCTTTATTGTACTTATTTAAAGGTTCATTTAAATCTATTCTACATTTTTGACATCCTAGCTATTGTTGTATTTGTAGCATATATTGAATTAAAGCTTTATTAACATGTGTCTTTATTCTAGTGGGAAGTATATACTAGAGAGCCTGTTGCCTTTTAATTCTTTTCCACTAACAGCTCAACCTTGCATAAAGCATTAACCCTTTCTCCTACACTAACATTCTGCTTGATTAGAATTCTACAAAGCAGTGGACATTTTGGGGGTTATGAGACTAAGCGTTCTTCCCTAAAATTAGAAATACAGCGATCATTAGCAGGACCACCAGGACTCTGGCTTTCTCATGCAGAGTGCAGTTCCCAACAAACCTAAAACCACCAAGAGGACCACAGCTGTCCTTCTCACGCCTTGCTGAGGCAGACCTTCTGCTGTGACCTTGTCAGCCAGCCCAAGTTGCCTTGGCCTTGCCAGAAACCCTCCGTGTTGGGTGAAGTTTTCGGTCTTACCCCGTGGGCAGAGGTTGGTGTGAGGTGGAGAGCAATGGGCCGCACAGGTCCCAGCATGCATGCCGTCCCAGTTCCTTGCCATGGGTGGGAGCCACTGGTGCCGTCCACGGGAGACCATTTCTGCCTGTGATGCAGGGAGCAGAAGTGAGTCCCCAGGTGCAGGGGACTGTGACGCTGTGCCCGTGGCACTGAGGACTCCTGGGGACACCCACCCATCAGTGATCTCGCCCCCGAGTTCCAAGAAATCTGAGGACCGCTAATTGTCTTCCAAGATCTGTTCTACCTCCATCCCAAACTTGTGGCGCTCACCCGGCCTCAAGTGGTTTGTGATGGCTACAGAAGATGGACTCGACAGCCGTGCAGACAAGGACAATGTCTTAGGACCCATGGCAGCCAGACAATGCAAAGACCCAGGGACCCCAAGTGTGGGGCGGAGACTGTTCTAGGAGACGGAAACCACCTCTGTTACAGCAGGTGCACCTTGACCCGGGAGACCCGCCTCCTTCCTCTCACCCGCACATCCTCCTGGAAGCGACGGAATAGGTCTGCTCTCTCATCTCTCTTGCTTTCCCTATCTCGGTTTCCCATCCATCCACCCTTTCCCTACCCAGGACCTGGCACAGCCCTTGCCAGGGTAAAGTTCAGACCCTGTTTGAACGGAAGGCAGACCATGAACAGAAGACCTGAAAATCAGGGTCAGTTCAAGAATTGTGTTGGCCCCAAGCTCTGGGCTGTTTAAGACCTGCTGTTCTCCAGCACTGTGGTATAGCAGGCCAAGCCTCTGCCTGCGGCGCCCGCATCCCATATGGGCACCGGTTCGAGTCCTGGCTGCTGCTCTTCTGATCCAGCTCGCTGCTAAGGCCTCAGAAAGCAGTGGAAGATGGCTCAAATGCTTGGGCCCCTGCACCCATGTGGGAGACCCAGAAGAAGCTCCTGGCTCCTGGCTTCAGCCTGGCCCATCTCTGTCCGTTGCAGCCATTTGGGGAGTCGACCAGTGGATGGAAGACCTGTCTTTCTCTGTCTCTCCCTCTCTGTAACTCTACCTCTCAAATATATAAATAAAATCTTTTTAAAAAAGGCTCACTATTTATTGCATATGCAATTGAAATAAAATACTCAACTATAAAATACATGTCAGCAGAGACAAGATGTTCCGATTTTGGGGGGGATTATTGGGGTACTCTTTCAAAAATAATAAACTACTTCCGGGGGAAAAAATCCAGGCTTTCTCTGGCTGCCAGGCACTGCCGCCCGCCCTGGGAGGTGGCAGCATTTTCTGTAAAGGACCAGAGAGTAGATATTGTAGACACTGCCTGCTGTATCGGCCCGGAGAAGTCTTCCCCACATTCCCGTACTGCTGTAACCAAGTGGATACAGCGACATGCCGATAAAACTTTATTTATAAAGACAGGCAGGGGGCCAGGTTGGGGTCACTGGTTTCCCGCACACCGATTCAGCTTTCTCCTTCCCTTCACCATGTCTGCTTGGCCAGCAGGTCAACACCTCTGCCCCCGCTGACTTCCCAAGCGCTTTTAGCTGGAGGGGACCCTGCGACCTCCAACTGGCCAGTGGGTTGTAACTGAGGATGTCCCGGAAGCTTTTTTGTTTTCTTGACATAGCTATGGCTTGTTTTTTAATTTTAATTTTAATTTGAGAGGCAGAGAGAGAGAGTGCCATGTTTTCAGGAATGGGTCCTGTTAAACCTTTGCCGGGAGTGGGCAGGGACGTAGGAGCAGCAAATCCCATTAGGATAGGGGTGCAGCTGACACCTGTGGTTGGGCCGTGGGGGCACCTGGCTCCCAGCCATGGAGGCAGGGGCTAGAGCCTAGGATGGTGTCAGGGGTGTAGGTCGCGCCATTTTCCTAACAGCTTCCGTAAGCACCGGGCTTGGTGGATTTTCGGAGATCTAGATAGCGAGAGCATTCCTCC